TTGATTGTTGTAGGTATCACTGGGAGGAATTGACCTCCAGGCCAATTGGCTATGAGAATCAGCTGTGTCTGCAGTGGGAGAACTTCTGTGCTGGAGACACCCCTCCGGGGAAAGACTTGCTTCAATGGGGCTTTGGTGCTCACTGAGTCTGCCCCGAGTGTGTCCTTTATGGTTCCACGGAGCTGCAAACTGGATGGTCCCACTCTCAAAACTGAGACACTTTTAAGACACACATTCCACTAGCTATCAGAGCAATGATACCACTACATACTACGCAGTCTCTGGAAAACTCCACTGTTCATTCATGAGAGAATGAGACTGAAAAAAGCAAGTAGTATTTTATAATATTATGAAAATAATTTTGATTTTATGGACTTTGAAAAGGTCTGAGAGATCCCTAGGGGTCACTGAACCACATTTTGAGAACCACTGCCTTATATGTTACTACCATCCCTACAAAACTTTCTTAAGCCAGAATTGGGAAACTAAAAATTCCCACTTCTGAGTCTGCATATAACATTTATGCAGACAAAGGAGGAGAGCAGAGAAAGCATGACAGGGAGTCATTATTCCATTTTCTTCTCCAAAGTTATATATCTCTTCTTCAATTGAACAATTTCCCACCCTACACAGATAAATATACTACTACTTGTTTGGACTTTTTAAAATATATTTTATTGACTTTTTTTACAATGAGGAAGGGGAGAGATAGAGAGTTAGAAACATTGATGAGAGAGAAACATCAATCAGCTGCCTCCTGCTCACCCCTCCCACTGGGGATGTGCCCGCAACCAAGGTACATGCCCTTGACCGGAATCGAACCTGGGACCTTTCAGTCCGCAGGCTGACGCTCTAGCCACTGAGCCAAACCGGTTAGGGCTTGTTTGGATTTTTATCTCCTTGGTTGTTTCCTCCTTGCCCTAATTAGATGAAATAAATACTCACAAGCAGATCTCTGGTAAAGAGAAAGACAAAATTTGGGTGGACAAAGCAAGAATCTCTTTCATATGCACAGGGTATCTCTACATAGCATGACACCAGAAATTCTGGCTGCCTCCATAAAAAGAACTGGGTGAAGGTGGGCAGAATGATAGGGAAACAGTAAAGTGTTCACATATCATCTTTGTTTCATTTTGAATGTTGTATCACATGAATATGTAATCTATCCAAAAACCAAATAAAATTTAAAACTAAATGTAATCCCCAGTACTGTTGGTACTTTGATGCTAAAGTTTCAAAATGCCCTGTATTCGTCAAAGGCTCCCAAATAATGTATCTAAAGGAAAAAATAGCAATAAACAGCTTACACATGTGTACATGATGGTGCTTCACAAATTGCTTCTTCATACCTTTTTCACTTAACCTCATTCTTTGCAAGTGTGAAAAACCCAAACCCTTACCTGTCCAAAGCATAATACGGAGTTGCCACCAGCAGAAGAGGGATGGCTGTCACCTCCTCCAAGAATTGCTTCCTCAGTCCCAGACATGTGGATTCTGGTTGACCTCTATATAAACAGAAGATTAAAAAAGGATCTCAAAAAATGTTGAAGTCAAAAGGCAAGAGCCACTACTAACAAATCAGATAAAACATCCATATGTAAGATTTTACAAGTCACTTTACTTAATACTTCCAAATACTGCCCCAGTCAAGGATTAAATTCCTTGGTGCTTAGCTACGGTCTCATATCCCCTGAAAGTCCTTTAGGGGCTGCTTCTGATTTCTGCTAAAATTTTTGCTAGGATGATAGTGCTACTAAAGGTGATTTTTATAATGAGAATGTATTATAATTACATATTATAATGTTTACAGGTGAAAAGTTGAAAATTATAAAAACACTCTAAGGGAGAGATATGAACTTATTACTACCTACTACATGTGCAATATGACCCAGGCCTCTGTAGGGTCAACAAAATGCATAACACAGTAACTGAACTGTTTGACAAGAGCTAACAAGCTAGCTAGTGGGAGAAGACTACCAGACATGAAACATGTAACATAGAGAAGGTAACACACAGACTCCCGGAGCATTAGCCCAGTTTGGTCCCTTCAGCATCAGCTTCACCGGGAACTTGTAAGAAATGTGAAATCTCAAGTCCACCCCAGATCCACTAAATCAGAAACTAGACATGAGGCCCAGGAATTAGTGCTTACCAAACCTACCTAATGATTTTGATGCAAGTTCAAGTGTAAGAACCAGTGCATTAGACTGAGGCTATGCAAATTTATTAGAAAACAGAATTACTCTCAGTAACTGGCTAGCCCACTTATCTGAGTACTCCTACATCTGTCTCACATCAGAATCAAAGTTGATGCCTCAGAAAATTTATATATTATAAATCTTCACATTTGCTAATAAAACTACAAATCTATGAACATCAACAAGTATGATAAAAGGCTAAGTGTCCGTCCATCTGACCAGTAGCTATTATGTACACTGACCACCAGAGGGCAGAAGCTCAATGCAGGAGCTGCCATAACACACACTGGCCATTTAAAAATAAATGGCACAGCCGAAACCGGTTTGGCTCAGTGGATTGAGCGTCGGCTTGCGGACTGAAAGGTCCCAGGTTCGATTCCGGTCAAGGGCATGTACCTGGGTTGCAGGCACATCCCCAGTAGGAGGTGTGCAGGAGGCAGCTGATCGATGTTTC